AAGGGCTCTCTGCTTATGGTGATGATTACAGTCTGGTATGAAGACTCCCAGGCCAAAGATCTCAGGGCTGTCACGAGCCTGGGATGGGGCGGGGCCTGGGATCCAGGGCTTGGAGCCCTACCAGATATAGGCAGCTTGCTAGGACTGGATTTAAAAAAAAATTATATACTTATGTTTAATATGTAGTATGTGTTATTTATAACATATTTATATGTTATATTTTAAATATTATATATGCTATATATATTATTAAAAAGTATATATACAGTGCCAGTTCTGGGGTTTGAACTCAGAACCAGGGTATTGTCCCTTTACTTTTGCTGATAAATTGTAGATAAGAGTCTCACAGACTTTCCAGCCCTGGAGGGCTACAAACTGGGATCCTCAGATCTCAGCCTCCTGAGGATCACAAGGGTGAGCCCAGCACCTGGCTCTGTGCTGCTGATCGCTTGCGCCTTCCTTCCTTCCTTCCTTCCTTCCTTCCTTCCTTCCTTCCCTCCCTTCTTTCCTTCCTTCCTCTCCTTCATTCCTTTCTTTCCTTTTGCCATGCCTGGGCTTGAACTCAGGACTTTGAGTGTGCAAGGCTAGTGCTCTACCACTTGAGCCCAGCACTTCTGGTCTTTTGGTGGTTTATTGGAGGTAAGAGTCTCCTACACTTTCCTACCTGGGCTGGATCTGAACCTCAATCCTCAGATCTCAACCTCCTGAGTAGTTAGGATTACAGGTGTGAGCCACTGGCGCCCAACTCTGTGATATTTCTGCATTTCCCAGAAGATTTCTGGGAGTGGATGTTTGCATTTATGCATGCACGCACATACTCTGTGTGTGTGTGTGTGTGTGTGTGTGTGTGTGTGTGCCAGCCCTCTACACAGACAGCTTGAGCCCTTTATGCTGTCTGCTTGGGGCCTCCTAGTGGCTGGATGCTCTGTCTCTTAGATGCTTTTCTGAGAGGCCAATCTTATACTTTATTAAAGCCATGGGGGCTGGGAAGGTGGCTCAGTGGTAGAGTGCTTGCCTTGAGCTGAAGAGCTCAGGGACAGCCCCTAGGACCATAGTTCAAGTCCCACGACTGGAAAAAAAAAAGCCATGGGGGCTGGGGCCAGAGCAGCTGACATTCAGGAGGCTGAGATCTAAGGATCCCAGTTCAACGCCAGTCCCAGCAGAAAAACCAGCAAAAAGCCAGAAGTAGAGATGTGACTTAAGCAGTAGAGCATCAGCCTTAAGCCAAAAAGTCAAGTGAGAGTACGAGGCCCTGAGTTCAAGCTCCCGTACCTCCCTTACCTCCCAAATCAGCACGGTGGGCAAGTCTTTCTTCCTTTCCCCACTCTGCCTTTTGCTCACCTGTGGCTTTTCCAGGATCAGCCCATTTAACAGAGGGTGACACTGAGGCTGGTGGCTGGGGTATGAGAGAGGACTTGGGCAGCCTGGCTCCTGCCAGAAGGACAGAAGGACAGGCCCTGTCCCCTCGGCCCGCCGCCGGCCACTCATACTCACATCATTGAAGTGCTTGGTGGTTTTCATGATGTAAGGCGTCCGCTCGTTCTTCTCCAGCTTCATCCATCCCTGGCCGAAAAACTCCCTGCGGGGACACAAGGCTGGGTTAGGATGGCCTCACACATTTCACTGCTTTGTGAGGTGATCATTTCTGGAGGCCCGATTTCCTTCCCCTCTTCTCTCCCCCCTTTCTTCTCCTCTCTTCCTCCTCCTCCTCCTCCTTCCCTTCCCCTTTCCTATTTTTCTTTTCTTTTTTTTTTCCCCTCCCCTTTCCTTCCCTACCCCCTCCTCGTTTTCTTTTTCTGTCGGCCGTGGGGCTTGAACTCTGGGCCTGGGCGCTGTCCCTCAGCTCTTCAGCTCAAGGCGAGCG